CACTTAGTCATTCCACAAGCGAGAGAAAAATATTATCTAGAGATCGATCTGGATCTTTTCATCTTTGTCAGTTTCGTGTTGGCACATTTCCACTTTTCTATATCTGAGAAGATATGGCCTTCAGATATCTTACTTATCAGCCTAATAAGCTTAAAATAATAATGAGAATAAAAAGCAAATGGGCTCTGATTTCAGTTCTGATCATCACTTCAGAGTGGTATCTAAAATCTCAGTTTCCCCATCTATGAATCTCTAATTGTGAGATTTCTGTTATTATATTCCTACATACATATATTCCTCGGTGAAAGGGAAACAATTAGAAAATGTTGTCAAGCAATTAATCCGAAAGGTTCTGCTTTAATTTTCTTTCCATGACCAAAGGGGAAAACTATATTTGAATGTAGGCAATTCCCAATTTTATAAACATATGCAAATAAAGCATAATAATAATTTTTGCAGTTTTAAAATCTTGAACTAACTTTTCTTTTTTGCTTAGCAAACTCCAGAATATTTTCCCAGTTGAATACAAGTTTATACTTATATTTAGGGAATTCAATAATAAAAGTCATAAAAAGAAATGTAATTAAGAAGGCAGATCTGTTTGAACATGATTACATAGTGTATTCCAAAACTAAATATAAATGACTTTGGATTGTCTGTCTCCTATTCCTTTCCCATTAGCCTAAAGAATTATCCTTCATATCTGTAATTCCATATGATTTATCATTTATGCAGGGTTTTAAAAAATATTTTATAAATTAGCCCGTTAATGTGATTAGTGTGAAATGATTGTAGTTTGAAAATGGATAATTCTTAAATCAGTCAGATTCGAAATTGTCATCAGCTTGATTATATGTTAAATTTGACATATTTTCATTTGTCATTATTTTAAATGACAGCAATTGAAGTTTATGCATACTCCACATCAATTCCTTCTTCTCAGCAGTCCACCAGCCAAAGAATCCAATTTTAGAGCTGCTAAAAAACTCTTTGGAAGCACCTTTGCATTTCAGTGAGTAT